ATCTTTTCTATCATATCAGTGTTTAATTGCCAAATTGACTATTCCGTTGGGAAGGGAGGGAAGCTGACTTTTCTCTGAATGCTAGAAAGATTGAGACTCCTCCCCTTTTTTGCCACTGAAACAGTAATCTGAAAATGAATGTGAATAAAGACAGAAGGAGGGCAAGCTCTTCAACATCAGGTCTGGGATACTTCCTTCTTGAACTCAGGTAAGTATTTTTACTTCTATCTCTTGTTCAGATGGCCCTTCTGATGCTGTCAAGACTATGGAGGCAGCAGACCACAGTCATTCTCATTTATTTCTTCCCCACACTAAATCAGTAAGTCTTTAAAAATCACTGCAACATAAACTAGAGACCCAAAACCTCTTGGGATTTTGTAATTATATATTTCTTTATGTGATCATTTGATTAATATCTGCTGATCTCACCAGGTGTAGAAACCTCCTTGTAGGCAGGGTATGTATCTTCTTAAGTATTTTATTTCCACCTCCTAACACAGGAGTATATCAAAACTCAAAATTTTGAGTTACTGTTGAATGGATGTATCCCTGTTCTTAAAGTGTGGTGGTGAGATCAGCAACAACAGGATTACTCAGATACATGTTAGCAACACAAATTCTTAGACCTCATTCCAAAAGGACTCTACCACTGTTGAATCTGAAATTCTGAGGTTGGGGCCCAGCAATGTGTCTTAGTATTCCTAATGATTCTGATATATGCTAACATTTGAACACCACTGTAGCGGATAAATGAATACAACTTACCCAACCACAGGTTTCTGCTTGCTGGCCAGCCTTATGTCCCCAGAACTCTGTTGATTCCTTCTCTGAAAGCACAGGCTATCACTAACTATGGGTGACTACACAAACCTGGCAGGAAGATAGTGTTCAAACATGGCAAATCAACTTTCTGGATGTTTGGGGGGAAAAAAACTGACCCAGCTTCTAGGTCTTATATTCTTATTAGATTATATTCTTTTCTATGAAATCTAATAAATCCTCTCTCCTTTGAGACAATTGAGCTAAGTTCTTACTGCTCACAACCAGCACAGGAATTTGTCTATACTGCTTAGGAAAGAGTGATAACCTCGATATGAGGGCTGGTACTCATATCCCCGGAGTCCTGGACACACAGATTTTATCCTCTCAGGATACATGCTCTAGACATAATCAGAGCTAAACTTTGATTTCCCAATAGTCTTACCTACACAAATTAGAAAGAAATGTCTCATTCTCCTTAAGTCCTTCAGCCATGCTGGAAAATATTCATTCATACCCAAGTTGAAACAGAATTTTTATCACCTGGAGTGAATAAGTCAAGTTCAATTGGAAGATACTGTCACTGGCCCTGAATTCTTTAGAAGGTTCATAAACACTAACCAGGAAACCTGTTAGCCTATATAGGAAACTTCTTGCCTCTTTAACCAGTAATGTACCCACCATATACCTGACCACTTGCCACATATAGTATACTTTTTAAAAAAATATTTTATTTATTTATTCATGACAGACAGAGAGAGAGAGAGAGAGGCAGAGACAGAGGCAGAGGGAGGAGCAGGCTCCATGCAGGGAGCCTGACATGGGACTCGATCTCGGGTCTCCAGGATCACACCCCGGGCTGAGGGGGCTCTAAACCGCTGGGCCACCGGGGCTGCCCACATATAGCATACTTTTCTCCTGATTTTTTGACAACTGATTGTAATAGTTTTGGTGAATTGCTAAAAAGTTTGATTTATATGTTTCTGTGGTTTTTCTCTTCCATATCATCAAAACTTTAAAAAAAAATTGGCTTGAGCAGGTTACTATCAAGATGGTTTAATAATATATTAATAAATGTGTACATTAGATTTAACTTGTCAAATCAAAAACTTTAAAAGAAAATCCACAATGAACATGTATCTTTTGTTTTAGCTGTATTTATTAGGGAGAGTACTGGCTAAGGAAGTAGATTCTACTATTTCTGAGTGGGCTAACTGGTTTGAAATAATCTCTGTATATTCCCTTTTTATTTTCTCCCCAAATCTTCCAAGAGAAGTAATCAGGGAGAAAAAGTAAATTATGCTTACTTACAACTGGTTTGAAATAATCTCTGTATATTCCCTTTTTATTTTCTCCCCAAATCTTCCAAGAGAAGTAATCAGGGAGAAAAAGTAAGTTATGCTTCTTGTGGTTCTGTTTTATCTCTTTTGTTACTATGTTTTATTTTATATAAAACCTCAAAGTCTCTGGGAAAGGGTAATATTTGTTTGGTTAAGGATCATTTTTAAAATTCTATTTTGAATATACTTAAAATCATTTACATACAAAATCATTTACATACAACGTCAAATTCCTAGGTAGCTTAAATTGTTTAATAGTTTTAGAAATTCCATTTTATGATTATGTCAGCATAAAGTCATAGATAACCTGATAATATAGGGGCAAATAAATATATATGGGAAACAATTTCATCACTTAAGAAGTCAAACAATTGGTGAGCTGTCTTCAAACTATGTTAGTAAAAAGACCTAAACATAGTCTGTTTATATTATTGTGAAGTTATGGATCATATTTTTGCGCTTGGCCTTCATTAAGAGCAAATCTGCTGATCTGGGCTTTTGAGTGAATTATTTGTAATTGTGTGACTGTTTATCAAAGAGACACTTATTTAGCTGACTGGCTTGGTGCTAGACTCAGTCATTCTATCAGCCTCACTGTACTTCTTGACATTTCACCCTTGGTCTTGTATCACATCAGTCAGAGCTGTTGCATAAATTGAATTTTAGGCTTTCAAACAATATAGGACTAAAATAATGTGATGTATGAGGAACTGAAAAAGAAGACTGATCAGAAAGGGCTAACAGCTTTTTAAATGTTACGACTAGTATGAGCTATATTACAGTCCATCTATTTCTGCACTTTGCTCCTTTCCTAACCAGGGTTACTTCCAGTAATACATTTAAGGAATACCATAATCTAACAATGCATTTGAAGACTGTGGTCAGCAGCTGCTAATTTGGAGTGGCTGAAGTAAGACTTCAGGATATAATAAAGACCTGAAAGTGAGAAAAATGTAAATGGCAATGCCTTAGATAGAGAAGCACAGAAAGAATGCCCCGGTGGAAAACATCTATAGTTGATGCAAAAGTGAAAGAGGAATATTCACGCAAATCAATGTCTATTAAGACCAGTTCACCACAGATAAGTCCCCTGGTTTACTTTCATTACTCCATATGGGATTGTGTAGACGACAGAGGCAGCCTCCAAACTTCATTATCAAAAACATAGAAACCTTAAAGATAATGCTATAATTTATCAGAAAGTATGAAAAAGCCTTCTGCTATATAATATGGATGCTATTGGAAAAAGATGAATAATGTTTCACTCAAGAAAGAATCAGAGAAATAAATCTAGCTCAAATTCCTTCATTTAGGGCTTCTAGGTAAAGAATACATTTATTCAAAAGTATATCCTTAAATACAAAAAAAATTTGATAATTCTATTGCAAACATATAATAAAACTTGTGAAACTAAATTTGTACACACTACTTTGGTGTATTCATTCACAATCTCAAACTGCTGAATGACCATAAACATCTATGTCTTGATGTAAAGAAAATAATCCTGTAAGATGAGATATTTTATTCCACTTCAAGAGAGAAAATCCATAAAGAAAATAATAATCCTTATAAATGAATGCAGTAAACGAATAATTTGTATATTCAAAAGTCAGTTATTTTTACTGCTTTGCAAAGAAGCAGCATCAGACTGATGTAACTCAGGCCATCAAATACAGGCAAGTGCACATGACTCTAAGAAATATTGTCTGTTTTGACATTCCTATATCAATTAAATTATTTTGCAGGTGTGTTTTAAGCTAAATTGGCTTTCAAAAGGAATATTCTGGACTACATTTTGGGTTGCCAAAAATTAATTAAAAGTCATAGCAAAAGATAGCTTCTTAATTTTTATCAAAGTAGAGTGAATTCAATGTAGTCTCAATGTCTGTTTCCTCAGGATATAACTACAGTCAAAATATTATCCACTTTTTTCTTCCCAAACTACTGAGAACTAGATTGGATTTCCTTCACTGATCTGCAAAGAGTGACAACAAAACCAAAGAGCAACATGTTAAATTGTCAGTCTGTAATAACATGGACTTTGTCTTGTGAAATTCTGTAATTCTAGTTCCTAGAATATGTGTGGAACATAATAAAGATAGACTCAGGTATGTTCAATGATCAATAAATGTTAAAGTAATGTGGAAAAAAATGGGGGCTGTTTTTTAAAATGTCTTAGACTCAAATATAGGGTGTTATTGCATCTTAGGCAACAATGGACATTTATAGCAACTAAGTCAAATAGCTACTGATTGTTACATAATTTGCAAATATGACAATAGGAGTCTTTTTGAATTGATATTTTTACTTTGAAAGCTTAAGAAATAGATTTTTCTAAATGAAAATGGGACTCCAGAGGAATCTGCAGAAATGAGTCTAAAGAAGTACCAATAAAATAAAATTACTCAAACCTCTACCATAAAAATGTAAGAACATGAGCCACTTCAATAAAAAGAAGTGACTTTTCTTGGTAAGAGGATAATCGTTAAATCTAGTCATTTCCATAGGCAAATTTGGCATACATCTGAGCTCACTATATAGCTTATAATAAGAAATAACAACTACTTAGCCCATAGCGGTTTGTAGAGTTTCCCAGAATATTAACTTAATAAATGATACCTATTTGGAAACAGTAATGTTACCATGTATACTTAAAAGTGTTGCAATAATAACACACATACATCATGCAGCTGCCCAGTCAATCAACATGGACTGACTCCCTACTATGTGCACAGCCGAGAGTCAGGACATAAACGCTATGCTACTAGTATCAATGATGGTTCATGAATCATGATGTTTGTGTTCCACCATTAATATTTTTCCACTACTACCCAAATGAATACTAGCCTCTTTATATGATTTATTTAAATAAATAAAAGAGTGTAGCCAATTTAGGATTACCTCACATTTATTTAGCAGTCCAGTTTCTTGCAGCCGTGACCAGATGCTCTGTATTCGTCCAGCATGCTCAGGGTGGGTGGTGGAATTGCCACAAATGCACTGGTGTTTCAGCATCAGAGGGTCATAGGCAATTCCTTCAGGACAAAGAAAACACAGCACAAGACTGAGTAATGATACAAAGTAATAATACAAGTTACATGACAATATAATTACTCCCAAAAAAAAGATATTCTTTTAAAAATAAATTTACAAAGAGAGATAATACAATTTCTTATGTGCAAATTCCTAGCACATAAGAGCTGTTTAGTCCTGCATGTCTGGATATAAATGCAAAAAAAAAAGGTTAACCTATGGATTAATCAGAACTCAGATCCTAGCTTGGTAAATTTGTAGTGATGAAGATGGTAATATATATTTTTTTAATTTTATATATTTATTCATGAGAGACAGAGAGAGAGAGGCAGAGACACAGGCAGAGGGAGAAGCAGGCTCCAAGCAAGGAGACCGTGGGACTTGATCCCGGTCTCCAGGATCATGCCCTGGGCCGAAGGCAAATGCTTAACCACGGAGCCACCCAGGCATCCCGAAGATGGTAATATTGTAAGAAACTTCAAATTTTTAAAAATACTATAATTTTAGCAGTATCTTAAATCATTATGAAGTATGTTTAGACAAATAATCCAAATCAGTAAAGGTCCAAATTTTATCACTAAAACCACAAAATGAGCTGAGTCTCTAAATCATGAATTAATTTCGCAAGTAATTCCAGCTTCACTTTAGAACAGGCCTTGCATTAAACTACAAAACTTTCCAACTGCTTGCCTATTCTGCTTAGCAATTCCTTCAGAGTTGTGCAGAAAGAGCTTCTTCCCTTCTTACTGTGCTTTTCTCAAAATTTATGCCAATCTGTAATCAATATGGACACTGTAGATGTTATAATTCTGTGGGACATTTGAAGTGTTTCTCTAAAAAATATGAAAAAGAAAAAATAAGTCAATTGCACTACCTTCAGTAGAGATTCCAAAGATACCTAATGAATAAAATCTGCTTTTAAATTATCAAGAGTTCATGTATTTCATATTTTAGTTAGACCCTATGATGAGAAAGATTTTTCAAAATATGATGAAATAAACTATTATGGGGATGGCTGGGTGGCTCAGTGGTTGAGCATCTGTCTTTGGCTCAGGGTGTGATCCCAGTCCCGGGATCAAGTTCAACATGGGGCTCACTACGAGGAGCCCACTTCTCCCTCTGACTGTGTCTTTGCCTCTCTCTGTGTGTCTCTCATGAATAAAAAAAATAAAAAAATAAAAAAAAAACCTTTAAAAAAAAAGAAATAAACTATTCTGGGTACATAAGATAGGGCTTTTTAAAGCAACAAATTAAATGATAATTATAACTCTGGTTAATTCTGAAAAGATTTCCACCCTTAATCCAATTCCTTGGGGGAAAACATGTTACTTACAAAACTGCCTAAGCATGGAGTGAGGGCAGAAGAATCCAACACCAAAATTGAAGAGCAAAAGTAACTATGTATTCAGATACAGGCCAGTAATTTGTGTTGTAAAGTAAGTTTACTTAATGCATTTTATTCTCTATTTCACTCACAATCTCATGTTAGAGAAATGCTACTCAAAAGGGGAAAATATTTTTCTCTGAGTGTACTAAATCAAGCAGAATAGTAACATATGTATTTTGAAACCGTGTGGTAAAAATTATATCTAAGAAAAAAACATCACTTTGCTGGCCCAAATAATATCCAATCTTAATACTAAAATGGCTTCAAAATCCATCCTATGCCCCTGACTTACATTTTCATTCTTAGTGCTCATTCCTCTAAGTAGTATACTTGCACACTTATCTATTCAATTGCCCATCCAAAATCTCCATTTGGATGTCTCATGGTTTTTATAAAGTGAATGTCTCAGATTTGAGTTCATGATCTTAAACCATACACTTTGTCCCTCGTTTCAGTAAAGGACATCATGATCCATCATTGCTCAAGCAAGAAACCTTAGTATCCTCTGGAAACTCCCTCTGCAAAGAACCAAAAAGTAAGTAGTGTTTTCCCTTCAAAAAACAACATGAATCACTTGATGATCTCTAGCCAAAACCATACATAATCAAAGGTACTATTATCTTTAATCTGAACACCTAAAATAAAGCCTTGTAACTGGCTACCTGACTTTTACTCTGTTCTTTTTGCCACATAACAGTTACTTTTGCTTAAATCTTTTGGTGACATGACAATATAATTACTTCAAAAAAAGACATTGATTAATCTAATCACTGATTGGATTAAAATTCCTCAAGGCATAGGTAGGCCCCTTCCCAGTTCTTTAGCTTTCTTTCCATGTACCTCTTCCCACAAAGGCCCACCTTCCATTCTTCAAAACAATCAAAATCACACCAGCCTTGGGATCTGTATACATCATGTTCCATCTATGCCCATAATTCTTCCTTCCTGCCCCCCATAACTCCAGCCCTGATTTGGGTAATTCCTATACACTTTTCAAGGCTAAATGATGTCTCTAAATTAGGTTTGCTACTATATGTCCTCATAGTATCTTCTAGGTCTTCAGAGCATTTATCACAATTATGTAATTGTCATATAATCTTGTTAATTGTACATTTTCTTCACTATCTGTTGAGATCTATGAAAGCAAAGATCAGAGTTAGAGTGTTTATCTCTGAACTCATAGTGTTTATACACATGCTTGGATATAGTAGGTCCTCAAAAGTATTTTTAATGAATGACTGAAAAACATAAATAAATGAACAGATGTAAGAACTAGGTCAGTTATTTCCATTATAAAGTCTTGCTTGATGAACCTAAGTGGTGGATCTCCTTGGAATCCTTAATTTTTTTTAGCCTTATTTCTTTAGTATTCTTTTCTTTTATATGCCTTACCTTCCTACTGGCAAGTGCCTCTACTACAGATATTTAACTTAATCAGCTTTATATTTCTGCACAGCATTTTGCACAAAAAAGATGAATAAGTATTTTTAAATAAAGTCCAAATGAATACATGTAGAAAGGCAGAAGGGAAAGCAGGCAGACATAAAAAGTAACATTCAATATACAAAGATATACAAGATGTCTTTGAAATTCAATATATAAAGATATACAAGATGTCTTTGAAATTCAGATGTATCAAGTATATAAGTTCCTATTACATGACAGGAACTGTTTAGTATATATCCTTCCTTCCTTTCATTCTCCTTCCCTCCTTTGCTTTTCTTTCTTCTTTTTCATCACAAGTATACTCTTTAATCCTTACCACCTATTTCATCCATTCCCCTGTCCACCTCCCCTCTGGTAACCATCAGTTTATTCTCTACAGTTAAGTCTATTTCTTTGTCCCTCTTTTCTTTTTTTTACCTTTGCTCATTTATTTTGTTTCTTAAATTCCACATATGAGTGAGATCATAATATTTTTCTTTTTTCTTTTTCTGACTTATTTTGCTTAGCATTATATCCTCTACATCTATCCATGTTGTTGCAAATAGCAAGATTTCATTCTTTTTATGGCTGAATAATATTCCACTGTATATATATATACCACATCTTCATCCATTCATCTATCAATGGACAATTGGGCTGTGTCCATAGTTTGGCTATTGTCAATAATGCTGTAATAAACGGGGGTGCACGTATCCCTTTGAATTACTGTTTTTGGGATTTGGGGGGATAAATATCCAGTTGTGTGATTCCTAGATCATAGGATAGTTCTATTTTTAATTTTTTAAGGAACCTTCATACTATTTGCCACAGTGACTACACCAGTTTGCATTCCTACTAATAGTGCAAGAGGATCCCTTTTTTTTTCCACATCCTCACCAACACTTATTTCATATTTCATTGTAGTTTTGATATGTATTTTCCTGATAATGAGTGATGTTGAGCATCTTTTCATATGTCTGTTGACAATCTGTGTGTTTCCTTTGGAAACATATCTGTTCATGTCTTCTGCCATTTTTAAAAGGAAATGTTCATTTTGAGGTGTTGAGCTGTATCAGTTCTTCTTATTATATATTTTGGATACTAATCCTTTATTGGATATGCTATTTGTGAGTATCTTCTTCCATTTAGGAGGTTGCCTTTTAGTTTTCTTGATTGTTTCCTTTGCTGTGCAGAAGTCTTTTATTTTGATGTAGTACCAATAGTTTATTTGTACTTTTATATCCTCTTGCTTCTGGAGACATAACCAGGAAAAAAGTTGCTATGGCTGACATCAGAAAAATTACTGTCTGTGCTCTCTTAAGGGATTCCTATTGATTCAGGTCTCACATATAGGTCTTTAATCCATTTTGAGTTTATTTTTGTGTATAGTGAAAGAAAATGGTCTGGTTTCTTTTGCACATAGCTGTCCAGTGTTCCCAATGCCATTTGTTGAAGATACTTTTTCCCATTGTATATTCAGTCCTCCTTTGTCAAAGATTTAATTGACCATATAATTGTGAGTTTATTTCTAGGTCCATTTTTATGCCAGTACCATATTGTTTTAATTACAACCACTTTGTAATATAACTTGAAATCTAGTCTTTGTGATACCTACAGTTTTATTTTTCTTTTTCAAGACTACTTTGGATATCTGAGGTCTTTTGTGGTTCCATACAAATCTTATGTCGGTTTCTTCTAGTTCTAGTGAAAAATGCTGTTGGTGTTTTCATAGGGATTGCATTAAATCTGTAGATTGATTTGAGATATATAGACATTTTAACAGTATTTGTTCTTCCAACTCATAAGCATGGAATGTTTTTCCATTTCTTTGCATTGTCTTGAATATCTTTCATCAGTGTTAGTTTTCAGAGTACAAGTCTTTGACCTCATTAGTTAAGTTTATTTTGAGATATTTTATTGATTTGGGTGCAATTATAAATGAGACTGTTTTCTTAACCTCTGGCTGCTTCATTATTAGTGCATAGGAATGCAACAGATTTTACATTGATTTAGTATCCTGCAACTTTACTGAATTCATTTGTCAGTTTCTAGACAAATTATTTCCTCCTTACAAATTTAAATGCCTTTTATTTCTTTATGTTATCTAACTGCTTTGGCTAGGATTTCCATTACTATGCTGAATAAGAGTGGTGAGAGTGAACATCCTTACCTTGTTCCTGACTTAGCTGG